AAATCAGACCAGAAAATAACAGGCTAATCTCTGATATCTGAGCTAGGCTAGATTGGTTCACAGCTGACTTGAGATATAAATTCTAGTTTACCATTCTCTCCAAACCTCTGCCACAGCATTTACTGGGATCCCAGACTCTCCTGGATGGGAAATATGATAGCAAGGTCTTTTGTGGAATTTCAAATTTCTCCTGAATGGTTGATATTGGAGACTGAGGCTCTATCCCCACATGACAGCTAAAGGGAATGAAGGATCAGTTTCCTAGCCAGACTTAGGTGTGAAAAAGGAAACATATTCTGTGGCATCCAGGTTTCTAAGACTGAGAGGCCTGCAGCAGAGATTTATAGCTCACTTTATCTCATTTGGGCTTCCCTAGTGACTCAGATGGTAAGGAATCTGCCTGCAATGCAGGAGACCCGGCTTCGATCCCTGGGTTGGGAAGATCCCCTGGAGAAATGAATGGCAACTCACTCCAGCATTCTTGCCTGGAGAATTGCGTGGATGGAGGAGCCTGGTAGGCTACAGTTCACGGGATCATAAAGAGCTGGACACAACTGAACAACTAACACACACATCTTCTCATTAGGCTTCTTTCTGCTGTAATTCCCACACTCAGAACATGATTTCCCTAGGGACATGAGTCTGGACAGAAAGGAAAATTTTCCTTTTTATTCTCTGTTCCTGAGACCAGGTTACAATGCAGGTGAATTCTGTTTTTATTACTCCTTCTCCTTAATTCTCCTATGCCCAAAGGTGTAAACCTCCCAGCACCTTATTGTAGCCAGAATTAAGTTTTCTCAAAGGCTAAGGCTAAGAATTCTCTCTTGGATCTTCCAAGCTTTGGCTGGTGGTAAAAACATAGCTCCTGATATTTCTAAAAATTATTTTATGAGTATGAAAGCATTGACCTTTCATATAAAACCTTAAACACTGTGTTCTTGGCTGCCCAACAATTTTTGCCAACACAATTAGGATTTTCATGTACATCAGAAGTTATGAGCTGTCATTTGGTACTTCATTATCAATATTTGTAATTATAAGACAAATTTAGATATTGTCATATGGCATAATATAACTTAGCACATTATAGGGATTGTCTGATTTAATTCTTATAAAAGTTCATCCTGTAATGTAGTCCTCTTTTTGCTTCATTCTCCATTATAGAAATGAGACTCAGGGTGTTTAATGTTCTGCTCAAAAGTATAAATCAAAAAAGGGATGGAGTCTTGATTCGGGGTCTTGATCATCAGAATGCTTTTAGTTCACAAACTCCAATGCAGTGATTCTCTATCAGAGATAATTTTGCAACTAGGTATATTTTGCAATGTCTAAAGAGATGCTACATTGGGCTGAACACCTGTAATGCCCAGAACAGCATTCAATACAAATAATTATACTGGCCCAAATACCATCAGTGAAAAGGTATAAAAATTGATTCTAAACTAGCACTTCTCTAAATTTAGTGCTCCTACAAATCACCAAAGATTATAATATAAATGCAAATTATGATTCAACAGGTCTGATTCAGGGTGTCAGGGACACTACAGTTCTAACAGTTTCCTACGTGTTCCTGATGCTGCAGGTCCTGGTCTGTGGATCACAGTTTGAGTAGCAAGGAAGTGGCTCTGTTTTATATCCAGGTACAAGTATCTGTAAATCTTCACCAAGTCTTCCATGTATGTAATTTTGAAAGAATCTTTTTCACTCACTTTATATGCAGTAGTAAACTCTGTTTGATTATTTTATAAGGATTCTTGAGTGACATCAAATAAGTTGTATCTGAAAAAAGACTTTTTTAGTAGAAAGAATAAAATCCCCCCGAAGATTTCTGTGTCATAATCACAAAAACTTTTGAATATTCTAGCTTACATAGCAAGGGAAATTACAACAGCAGATGGAGTATGTTTGCTAATCAGTGATCTTGATATCAGATTAGCACAGATACCCAAGTTGGTCTAACATAATCATTTAGTTCTCTTAGGGAGGAAGACAAAGAAAGAGTAATTAGAGTAATTAGTAATTAACATTTCAAAATGCCTGTACACTTGAGTTTAAATATGGAGGAAAGACCATAAACCAAGGAAGGCTGGTGTCCACTAGAAGTAAAATATGAAATTTAATGCATGCTGTTCTGCAGCACTTAGAGGGATTACTGTCCTGCAGACATCATAATTTGAGTCCAGTGAGAACTTTTTTAGGCTTCTGACCTTATAGAACTTTTAGATATGTGTTATAACCTGCTGAAAGTGAAAGTGAAAGTCGCTAAGACGTGTCCGACTCTTTGCAACCCCATGGACTATACAGACCATGGAATTCTCTAAGCTAGAATGCTGGAGTGGGTAGCCGTTCCCTTCTCCAGGGGATCTTCCCAACCCAAGAATCGAGCCCAGGTCTCCCACATTGCAGGCAAATTCTTTACACACAAGGGAAGCCCATAGAGATGGCAGCAGTGGGATTTGAACTCCCGTCCCTGAAGAGACTGGAGCTTTAATCCACTGCCTCAGACTGCCCAGGCCATGCTACCACACTTTGTAACGTGCTAATGTGGTAATTTTTAAGAGTATTGTTAGTTGCTCAGTCATGTCTGGCTTTGTGACCCGATGGACTGTAGCCCACCAGGCCCCTCTGTCCATGGTTTTTCCAGGCAAGAATACTGGAATCTAATACAGATACTTGTCCAATCAGATGTTGTTCCTAGAAGCTGAGTTTAAAAGACTTTCAACTCAGTCAGTGAGCTTCCTTTAGGTACAGCGTTTTTGTGCTGAAATTCTACCTTAAACAGAGGGAGAAATTTGGGTCCCTTTGAAGATCTTTTGCCCCATTAGCTAATAAAGAGAATTTCATTTTGCCTAAATGTAATTGTGGCCATAATTTTGAGGCCATTGTGAATTCAAGGTGGGGAAAGTAATCCATTATTATTAATAAAATTAAGGTCATGCATTCTACTTTAAATCTTGCTGTCAGCAGTTCTACATTCTTTCTAATTTATGTTAATTCATTCATTCTTTTCACTGCTGTCCCTCTAACTTTCTCTTAAGTTTTGTTTCAACACAAGAAATGGGATTCCAAATGAGAATGTGTCGCCCATGCATATATGTGTGAGTGTGTTTATTTGAGAGAAATCTGTAGACAGATGCAGGCAAATATATACGTACATATATTCCTAACCTTGAACATGGTCCGTGGACTAAGCAAAGTACTTCTGTACTTCTCACTCACTGCTCACAACATTCATATGAAGTTAAGATTTATTATCCCACATTTCCTTCTGACATAAGTAAAACTGAGGCTCAGGGAAATTATATTTTTAACAAAAACTTTACAAATAAATTAAAACTTATTGTGCAATTATTCAAACTACACAAAAATGGAACCATGTAATGTGTACTGTAAATTTTTGTAATTCAGCAAACAGCATACATTTAAAATGTGTGATTTATTGTGTCTAGTTATGCTCCAGTGGGAGCTTCCCTGGTGGCTCAGATGATAAAGAATCTGCCTTCTATGCAGGAGACCCAGATTCGATCCCTGGGTTAGAAAGATCCCCTGGAGAAGGGAATGGCAACCCATTCCAATATTCTTGCCTGGAGAATTACATGGATAGAGAAGCCTGGCAGGCTACAGTCCATGGAATCACAAAAAGTCAAACACAACTGAGCAACTAACACTCACTCACTCATACTCTAATGAGTTAGTTAAGAATTTGAAATCCTCTGGTGGGGCATGGCTCAGGTTAGCATACAGAGAATATGTTTTGAGTCACACCTAAAATTGGTGAGAGAAAACTCTTCTAACTAGGTAGAAAGCAAAGTGTCATATATGGACATTGGAACAGAGAAATTTAAATAAAACAATAAATATTTGATAATCCCAATCAAATAAATTTAGTTTATTTCCTGTAAACTAAAGACTGACCTACATATAAAAAAGGAATAAGTTGGCACAAAGTGATTCAAGAGAGAGGAGCAGCACAACATCATGTTCGTCATGGATAAACCTTAAAAAACACAACATAGAGCCTAGCAGTTGATAAGAGATCCAAGAAGAGATAATCATAACTCCAGTCAACTCCCTATCATATAATCCCATTTGACAGAAAATGCATTATGTTTAATGATTTACTTTTAGAATGACTTGTTATGAATAACAGCTAACTGTCATGTGTGTTAGTCATTCATTCATGTTGGACTCTTAAGAGATCCCATGGACTGTAGCCTGCCAGGCTCCTGTCCATGGGATTCTCCAGACAAGAATACTGGAGTGGGTTGCCATTCCATTCTCCAGAGGTCTTCCTAACCCAGGGATTGAACCCTGGTCTCCCACATTCCAGGCAGATTTTTTACTATCTGAGCCACCAGGGAAGCCCTGTAACAGTTAACAATACAATAATTTTTGGTACAATGATCAAAAAGAACAGAACTGAGGGAAATTATAACAACATGCTGCTCCTAATTCTGGTCATTTGTTCTGATATTTGAATAGCATTTCACTTCTTCACCTTCTGGATAAGATCGAGTATAACACAGGGGCTTCCAGGTGGCTCGGTATGTAAAACCCACTTGCCAGTGCTGGAGACACAGTAGATGTGGGTTTGATCCCTGGGTTGCAAAGATCCTCTGGAGTAGGAAATGGCAACCCACTCCAGTATTCTTGCCTGGCAAATCCCATGACAGAGGAGCCTGGCAGGCTACAGTATTTAGGGTCGAAAAGAATCTAACACAACTGAAGCAACTTAGTTCACATGTACGAGAGCTACCCAGTGAATGGGTGATTGAGATGCCATCAACAGATACCCTTCACTGTCTGTTGCCCAAATGTTAAGAACACAGTGGCAAACAAGAGATAGAGTCCCGTGCTCTCAATCTCTGAGGGAAATAAGCATAAATAATTACATGTCAGCGAAAGGTAGAAACTAGGCCCAGCCTCCTCTGGACGTGGTCACAGCAGTAAGTGGCAGGCAGAGTGGTGTGGTCAGATGAACTCCACACTTCATGGCTAACTTACTCAGCATCGTGCGTAGCTTCCTGGAGCCTTAGTTNACCACTGGCATGTTGGATCACTTGTTTCAATTCACAGAAAAAGTGGGGGATTTCCAAGACTGTAGAGAAGGACAACCTCAACACCATTAAGCTTTGTAATGAAGAGTTCAGAGCACCTATCACCCAGGATATGAGAACCAGCATTCCACAGAGAATAGGCTTCATGATGACTGTGTAACGCAGAGGATGGCAGATGGCCACAAACCGATCATAGGCCATCACTGTCAGGAGAAAGATGTCCAACTGTATAAAGAGAAGGAAATAATACATCTGGGCTATGCAACCTTCGTAGGTAATGACTTTGCTTTGAGTTTGAATATTCAGCAGCATCTTTGGGATGGTGGTGGAGGTGAAACAGATGTCCACAAAGGACAGGTTGGAGAGGAAGAAGTACATGGGGGTGTGGAGGAAGGGATCTGAGCTGACAGCCAGGATGATGAGCAGGTTTCCAAACATGGTGATCAGGTACATGGAGAGGAAAAGCCCAAATATTAGAGGCTGTTGTTCTGGTTCATCTGATAATCCGAGAAGAAGAAATTTTGAAATTTGTGTACCATTGCCTAGTACCATATGGTGGTGGTCACTATTAGGGGAAAAAAATATATAATTACATCATTAATTTCTACACGTGTAAAATGCTATGTATTATATTTGTAGCCATTTTAAAAAGGATCTTCTATGTCTGGGTCTCCATTGATACCCTATGAGAGAACAGACCTGTGGACACAGTGGGGGAAGGAGAGGGTGGGGCAAATTGAGAGAGTAGCATTGAAGCATATACATTACCAGCTGTAAAACAGACAGATAGTGGGAGTTTGTTGTATGATGCAGAGTGTTCAAACTCAGTGCTCTGTGACAACCTAGAGGGGTAGGATGGAGTGGGAAGTGGGAGGGAGGTTCAAGAGGGAGGGAACATATATATACTCATGGCTGATTCATGTCAATATATGGCAGAAACCAACACAGTACTGTAAAGCAATTATCTTCCAATCAAAAATAAATATATAAAAAAATTAAAAATAAAAGGATCTTCTGTGACACCTGTGATTATAACATCCTAAAATTCAGATTCCCTCCCAAGAGTTCATGTGTGACTGTGTTTTAATGCAAAATTCTTTCATGCATCTGAGGAATTTATGTTGAATGCCAGCTTCTAGGGTAAAAGTATAGACTGCCAAGAACAAAACTCCCCACAACACAATAATGAATAAAAATGTGAATTAACTAATTAAGAAACAAATTACCATGTCTTACTGTGATAAATGCTATGGAAAAAACATACAAGTATAAAATAGAGTGAATGGTGCTGCTACATTTTACTAGGAGTTCAAGACTTGCAAACAAGCAGAAATTTGAACAGAGGCTTGAAGGAAGATGATGCAGACACATCAGCTTATCTGAGGGACAAATGCACCCTGTTGGGGGAGGAGTCAGTCTAAAGCCTCAGAGGATGTTTCAGCTGTGCTTATCTCACATAGTCAAGACTCAAGGGGAAGCCAAAGTATGGAGGGGAATGAGCAAGAAGAGATGATGTTAGAGAATGCTGAGGAACAATGTGAACTTCCTGCTTCTACTGCTGAACCTTCATTCAAACAGTGTTCCTTTTACATTTTTAATTTTGCTTCAGATGATTCCTATAAATAGAAATGAATCCCCTTTTTATCTCCAACTGACTGGTTGTATCTTTTTGTTGTTGTTGTTGGTTCCTGACTTCCTTCACGCACTACAATATTCTTTTTTTTTTAAATTGGGGTATAATTGCTTTAAATGCTATGTTAGTATCTACTGTACAATAAAGTAAGTAAGCTACAAGGTCATTGTTTGGAGTACATAAACCTAAGTACCACTGCCCAGAGAACTGCTCATACACCACATACCACAACACAGACACAGACACAGACACACACACACACACACACACACACACACATTTATACACAGAGACCAGGTACAGCATATTATCACTTATTTGCCTTATTTCCTGGATCGTATCACTTCCAGCCATGATAATTTTGAAAAGATTGATGAAGGGAATTTATCAACATTATATGATCTTTTCCCTAGAGAATCTAGAAATAGTATAGTTGGCAAGCCTCCCAAGAACACTTCATTTAATATGACCTTTTTGTATCTTTCATTAAAAGAAAAATAGAAAGCATTTCTAAAAACAGAAAGAGAAGACAGAAATGGACATATGGAGGAAAACACGATCTACCTTAGGGTCTCACCTCTTTGTAGTTGCCTTGTTCTAAAGCAGAGGCAATGGGGTATGTAAACCTCAATTTTGCAGGCATTTCACCCTCTAGGATGAGTCTGATGACCTCAATGACCTACACCATGGTAACCCCCATGTTGAACCCCTTCATCTACAAAATAATATCTAATAAGCTCAGGTGATCTCCAAGAGATTGCGATGAGAAAAAATCTTCCTTATTTGTGTCAGCATTCCAAACCCAGTTATATACCTTTGTTGCAGAAAGCAATCTATCAAAGGAGAAAGGAATCATATCTTTAGGATGTCAAGACAACTTATTGATTGACCATCTCACTAGAAAAATGAACAAAGGGAATTAACCCACAATTTACATCAGAACACAGACAATGTGCTGTAATAGATGAGATAAGAATTTTAAAACATAAATGGTAACAGAGTTTCTGAATGGGTTTAAGTGCCAAACTTTTGAATCGGAAAACCACTGTTTGAATCTTGAATTTGCTGTATGGACTTAGTGAGACTAAAGGTCCATTCTAAATGTTAATGTCCTTACTCAAATAGTGGGGATAGTAGTATTCATCCTCCTAAGTTAGTAGACAAATTTAATCAATATATGTAAAGGATTGACATAGTTCTTTCATTCTTACAAAGTGTATGATTATCACTGGTGATGAGATTTGGCTGATGTTTGTTGTTTTAACTCACAAATGTCTCCATTGCTTCCCCACCTCTTCCTAAGAAAAAATTCTAAAGTAAAGCTTGTTAGCATACCCACTGGAGTATCTTAAGCATAGCTTTTTAATGTGAACGTCCAACATGAGAGAAGATACTATGAAGTGTATGTCTCAAGAACACTGTTGCAAAATAGTATCTATGCCCATGAGTCTGGGTCTTTCCATAATAATAAATACAGAAACTGCTCAAATACATCTTATCATAAAAATCTGAAAAATGCATTTATTTCACTGCACATACCTAGAAAGCTAGTACTTTTTTCTCTCCTCCCCTTAACTGCCAAACTCCTGCTAATAAGTAATAATTTATTGGAACCACTGTATGTTTCTAATTCTTCAATTTCACCCACTGAATTTCCATTCCCATCTCTTAATTGTCATCAACAATCCTTGTGTTGCTGAGTCCAACAGATATTTCTCTTTATAACATTAAATGAATCATAAGTTAATTAATCAGTGTAGCAAACAAATATGGTAAATATCTTGGCTTTTCAAGACAGTTAAGTTCACAGGTAACTGACTTCAGGTAAAAGTTTTCCACTTTCATTCTTGCTGAACCTTCCCTGAAGTATCTATTGAACTCTCAGACTCACCTGAATGGGGTCTATAAGAGGAAAATCCCTGGGTAGATATCTGAGTTCCTCTGTGGATGGTTGATGATAAAGATTGAAACTCTGTTACCAGGCAGGCTTGGAACTCCAGAAGCAAAAACCATGTCTTGTCTCGCTGAAGGTTGTATAGGCTGAGGAGATATTTACAACCTCCTATGTCTTCTCCTTAGGCACTTTTCCCATTGTTAGTCCCACCACTGAGTACATCACTTACCTGTGGGACATTGACCTGGATAGACAGCAATTTTTTCCTACTGATTCTCTGTTCCCAGAAGACCAATTAGAAGTGAGGAGAATCTAGTTTTTGTTAACTTCTTCTCACAAACTGTCCTTCCTTCTAGAGGTCTATTAGTTAATATTTTCTCCTAATCTGCAACAGAAGAAACTGTCTTGACTAGGTTCCATGGACCTCTGAAGTATTGTCTTGTTCCAGGGAACAACCTCTCTGGATCTCTAGAACATTGGTGACCGGTGACCCCATTCAATAGGAGAGAGGTGTGTTGTTTACTACAAAACCATATATAATCCTTGGTTTCATATGATTTTGACAAACCAGAAGATTTATACATGTAGCTATAATTTAGAGCTGTCACTTACTCCTCTTTAAATAAGTTTGTTAATTATAAGATATATTTATGCACCATGTGCAAAGATTAGAATTTTATTTGTAGTGTCTTATTTTATTTTTACAAAATTCCATTCTTTGTGGTCTGTACTATTACTAACTTCACTTTACATTTGCAAAATTAGAGCTCCAAAGGGTTAAGTGATCTGCCATAGCTATGAACTGAGAAAGGTGTTTGATTTGATTGGAACCATCTCAAGATATTTCTAATTCTCATGCTCTAGTCCAGTGAATCTCAACAGGGGTGATTTGTCTCCAGAGAACATCTGACATTGTCTAGAGAACATTTTGGTTGTCACAGTTGTGGAGGTACCACTTAGCAGTTTGAAGCAAGGGATGCTCCTCAAAATCCTACAATGCATAGGGTGGCCCCCACCACAGAATTATCCATAACAAATGCGAACAGTAAGAAGAAAAACTATTCTAGACTGGAATTTCTCCAACATCGACATGTGTAGGAGTCACTTGGGAATCTTGTTCAGAAACAATTCTGATTCATGGGTTTAAATGGGCCCAGAAATTATGAGTTGATCTGTGCTCCACTCTTGAGTACCAAAGTTATGGTCCAGTGTTAGATTCAGGTGTAGGTATTGTAAAGTCACCAGGCATCCTCCTGCCCATATCAGGAATGACATTAGGTGGTAAAATGTTGGACTCAGTAGATCCCTCCTGCATGCACGTTCCCCATCCCCTCAAACTATAGCCCACCAGGCTCCTCTGTCCATGGGATTTTCCAGGCAAGAATATTGGAGTCGGTTGCCATTTCCTCCTGCAGGAGATCTTCCTGATCCAGGGATGGTACCTCATCTCTTATGTCTCCTGCACTGGCAGGCAAGTTCTTTACCACTAGTGCCACCTGGAAAACCCATACACAATATACACTGGATAAATAAAATGTGATTATTTATGCTATATATAATCACATTTTATGCATGATATTCATGGAATTCTCCAGGCAAGAATATAAGAGTGGGTAGTCATTCCTTTCTCCAGGGAATCTTCCCAACCAATGGATTGAACTCCGGTTTCCTGTATTGCAGGCAGATTCTTTACTGTCTGAGCCACAAGGACGCCATGCATATATATTTACATATATATACATAATATATAACCACAATTTCTGTATTCATTAATCTGTTGATAGACACTTAGCTTGTGTATGTATCTTGTGCTGTGTGCTTAGTTGCTCAGCTGTGTCTGACTTTTTGTGACCCCATGGACTATAGCCCACTAGGCTCCTCTGTCCATGGGAATTCTCTAGGCAAGAATACTGGAGTGGGTTGCCATGCCCTCCTCCAGGTACATATCTTGACTATTATAAATAATGCTACTATGAACATTTGGATGCATATATCATTTAGAATTACTGTTTTCAATTTCTTCCA